ACAAAGAGCAGATATTAGGAGAATAGTGACCATCATGATCGTCCAGACCTGTCTTCGTGTGCCACACGGGTGTCCAACGCGCAAACTGCAGGCGGACGCGAGGGTTTAGCTAGGTGGTAAATAGCGCATGCGCGTAAAAACGCGACGGTTCTCGACCGCAACACCCAAATAGCATTGCAGGGCTCTAGCTCCAACTACATGCCTTTCGGACGGACAAAAATAGGGGAAGTCGTGATAACAACGACAAACGGCGGCTGGTGAGCGTGTTTTGCTGCCCACGTATATACGGACTCGGAGACAGACCAAGCGAGGCACTCCTTTCGCAGTCCTTTGAGACTGACTGGGTTTGTTTGGGCGAGTTTTGCTACAGGGTCTCTGCTATGATTATAATTTTTTTAGCTTCTACCCATTCATGACTATATACACGTTCGTAGGCGTCAAGGGGTAAACTTGCACATGGATGCGCATAATCTAGCGCAGCAGACGACCCCTCTCTGGCGTAGCCAGGGAGCGCTGAAGAAGGCAGGCTACGCCAGACTAGATGCATCTCGGGTGAAGTTTTTATTATTTTTAAAATTACACTTCAAGTTAACGTTTCCGATAGTCTTATAGTATAATATAATAAATACGATACAACAAAAAAAAACAGAGCAAATATACAGAAAACCAAAAAATATATACATAGAGCAATTATACAGTAACCAAAAATATATTTAAGAAGCAATAGAGAAAACAGTTCACGGCACTGTTGACACCTGGGACTCTGCGGCCACCAGATCAACAGAAGTGGAAGCTACCGAAGCAACACGATTGGAGGAGGAGCGGGCACCCCTGATAGCGAGGATGGAGGCACGGAGAAGAGCAAAGGAGAGGCGGCATCGAAGCCAACACATGGTGGTGGAGTAGGGTTGGTTCCATTTTGACGAGAGCATTGAGGCAAGACGTTTGTACGTTGTTGTGGCAATGCGACCCAAACCACCAGTGACAGACAGAACGAGTGGGACAAAAGAAGCATGTTCAATTTCTCTGATTCTTTGCTTGTAGGCACGTTTCTTTACATTCTCATGATGGCGATAGCAAGTGGTAAGTTGGAGTCGACGGTTTGAAGGAGCGTGGGGATTAAAGACCCTGACATCAAAAAATGCTCTCTCAAATCTTCCCCCCCAAAACCCATTTGCAGCTATGTCCAAGCGAGCACCATCACAAGCATTGGCAGATGCACCTCTCAAAACTTCACCATCAACTGGTTGAAGATGAGGTTCGGTGGAAACACTGTGGCAAACCTCGGACAAAAGATCAGCTGTGAGATCTCTAATTTCATTGTGCCTGATTGAAGGGTATCCTCCCATATGGCATGAGAGGGCGTGCGAAACGGAGAATGGCTGACCACATGCACAGTGAGATGGAACCATGGTAGGGCTCCATCCGTAACGGAGAGCGAGTGCATCACGGAAAGCTCCCTTGTGCAGGGTAAAGCCAAACTCCTCTATCGGCAAAGCTGTCAACCAACTGGAGGCACCATTTTCTTGTGCCAGATCTCTGGTAGCAATGCCAACAACTATAGATATAGAGGTCTTGCTGCGCGGGTTCCCTGCGAGCGCATTGGTAGCTGGGTAATGCGATCGGTGTTGGTGTTAGAAACCGACTACAATTTCTATAAGCTTCGATATGCACCTAGCTATGCAACCAGCAATGCCGACGTTAGCTCGACTGGCGTCGCCCTGGGCATGCGCAAAGAGAGTAGCTACGCGTAGTTTCGATGAGCAGTCTGCGTCGACCGTAGAGGATCATGCAGCACTGGCGGATCGTTCTCTTTAGCCTGTACATAGTACATCAAGTGCCACTTTACTGCGAAGGTGAGCGCGGGGGTGGTTTCAGTTTCACTAATGTGTACACGCACTTAGCTAGCAACTTGAAAATTGTTTTAGTGCAAGAGATTGCCTCAAACAGGCTGCTGTCACAGTGATTGCTATTGGTGGGGTTGAGTTTGAGGTGATATTCTACTATCCTAACATGTTTATTCCGCAGTCCAAAGTGTAATTATACTTAGGTGGCAGCTATAACATAAGAACCATTGACCAATGACTGGGACATGTAACTTCAGATATACATGTGTCTGTCTCAACTCCCCTCAACTTATATGCCCCTTCCACCAGTGACAAAACGCGCAACACTTACTAGTTGGTTAATTCAAGCGCTAATGAATGGCTATAATAGTAGGGTGAAAAATGAGTTACTGTTCCTATAGTGACTAACTCTCTTTCTGGCTCTGATGGGGCTTATTCAAGCAACCCTGGTCAGTTTATGTTAACAGATTTAGATTGACTTTTTGGTATAGCGGTTTTTTGGTGTGCTACTGCATGCCTTGTTTTGTAGCTTGACTACAATTTTAACCCTTTGGACGCAATGGGTAGCCATCTCTTTAAATAAGCAGAAGATCATGTATAAAGTATTAGCGTCCTAGTATTAACCCATATATATAATCCTATGGACATATAGAGGCTCTGTACACATTTATGTGTCCGTGGCTAGTTAGGTGTTAATTAAGTTTGCTCCCGTTATTTTAATGCATAAATAAGAATTTAAGGAAGGTAGGGTAGTGTAAAAGATTGTGTCCATGTTCTCATGTTCACATACCTGAACTTCCGGGAACATGGGGAATAAACAAGGTTTAATATCGAACATTTTAATCAAAAATTGCTATGCACCACTTAAACCTACAAAGTATGGTTGCTTTTAATGCACTCTCATGTGTTTGTTGTATGTATGTGTGTGGTTTTGGTTTTTCATCTAACCACTGCTGTACAGAACTGAACCGATTCTTTGGTTATTATGCAGTATGGTTAGTATACAACAATTATTTATACAAACGTGTCTGTTTAGTCCTCAGTGTGGTTGTGACTTTCAAAGTAACAGACAAAAGAAATGGAGTTTTCAAAGTCAAATGTACTTCTACTGGCGGAGCAGTACTGACAATGTCCATCAGTGGGCCATTGGGTAGGCAGGAAGATTTGGATACCTCTGCAGTAGGCATACCTCAAAGGACAGGGAATGACTCATACTCTGCAGAGATCCTTCTTCAAGGTGGTAATAATAGCGACACATACATCTGTTTTTCCTCCAATATAGTGTCCAACTCATCTAGCAGTTCCTATCTGAAAAGTATTTGGTTATTTTTCTTATTACGTATGGTATAAGATCACCCATCTTTCTCAGTATCTTCAAACTCTATCATACTTTCTGTAAAGCAGAAATCAGCTACATCAGTGATAGTGGAGTGGAGTCAGCCATCAGGAGGAGCCGCAGTGACTGCATATGTAGTACACTACAGTGACGGAGTAGATAAAATGACTGAGGATGTACCTGTACCTTCAACTAGCTCCTCCATAGCAAACCTTACAAACTGCCTTGGATACACTTTTATAGTTGAAGCAATATCAGAACACCTTTCCGGAGAGTCTGATATCCACACAATTGCCTTAGGTATTAAACCCGTTCATCCTCACATTTTTATCTACTACATAGTTGTTTTGCTCTTTTCAGATGCCTCAAGCACTTGCAGTGGACATTAGACAGAAGCTATGAGTTCAACATCCATTATAGTCCGATGGACTGGTATGGCGGCCTGCAATAGTACCAGTCAGATAGTCAAATACAGGGTGAAGTACAAATCAGAGTCCAGTGGTATGGCACACAATACTGTCAATGAAACAAGAGAGGAAATCTCACTGACTGGACTTGTACCCTACACACGTTACTCCGTTGAGGTGGCTGCAATGAATGAGGAGGGAGAATTCGGCCCCTATAGCCCCTCAATTACAGTGGAAAACATTGGAAGATAGTAAGGTTCTTTTTTACTGGGAGATTAACCTTTGTGATGAGCTTTGTACATGACGAAAGTGAGCAAAGAAATATTTCCCATTCCTCAGTTCCTGGTCCAGTTGGAAATCTCTCAGCATCTCAACACTCTCAAAATATATCTTTCCTGGCGTGCACCTATTTTGCCTAATGGTGTCATCATCGCGTATGAGGTGTCCTACAGACCAGCAGAGAATCCAGGTCATGAGCTCAGTCTGAACACCACTGATCTGGAGTCAAATTTCACAGCAGGGAATGATCTGGAGGGAGGGTCTGACTATATATTCTCTGTCAGAGCATACACTAGAGTTGGACCGGGAACAACGTCCTCTCTAAGAACTTCCACACTTCTCCAGCTGGGTAACTAATAACTTACTTTTAGAAGCCCTAATTCTATTCTCAAACTTGTCAAGGAACAGCAATTGATATAGTTGTGACGGTTGGCATGGTTGCATCTTTCGTGACAGCATTGTTTCTCATTTACATTGCTGTCATCTTGCTGTACATCTACAAGCGAGTTAGGAACCTCTAATTATTACAGTCAACTATAAACTACACTCATATTGCAGAAGGAGCAGGAGTAGAACTAAAAAACAAGACAAAAGCCACACTCCTAGCAATCTACACTCTGTTCCATACACCGACACTCCAGACACTAATGCGAGCAGCAGAGATATTACTAGTGGTAAACTATATTTACACCTGTTTCTTTTGGGTTAAATGTTCTTCGTCTATATAGCACCAAAGATGACGCACATTTCCGAGGAAGATGAAGATTACGAAGATATTCGTTTGACTCATATGATGCGGAAGCAGTGAAGGAAATCTCACCAATATAATTATCAGACTATTTTTGATTCCAAAATGACAAACCCAGTTTGTTCATGAGTACCTGCAGATGAATTTGGAGACTATGTTGCAAGATGTCATTCCAATCAAAATAAGGACTTTAAAGCCCAATTTGCGGTATGAGCTACCATGAAATAAAAAAAGTTCATGAATCACTTTGGAAATTGTGTCCATTAGTGCTCACAAGTAGTGCAAAGTGTGAGATCAAATAAAAGACATATGTATTTGGTAATTATTATTGTAAGCTCTTTATTTGTTATAAAGTCGTTACAACAGTATGACGAAGAGGTTCCCAAGACTCTAAGAATGTCCAAACTCAACAGATTTTCCAATTTTACTGTTTGTAAGTGGCTTTAGTTTTTAATTATACATAACATTATATCTACTAGATGAAGACAACAGTGTATTACTCAAACGTATTCGTGGCCACTCAGATTGTGAGGAAGACTTCATTAATGCCAGTTACATTGATGTCAGTTTATAACTGAATTTGTTAAATGTGTATAAGTTCATCTTTTGCACTGCCACATATTGGGGTACAAAAAAGAACAGCAATACATTGCAACACAAGGTAATTCTACAACAGCACTAGGAATTCACTTGTGTTGGTTTACTACAGGACCACTGCCTAACACAACTGTTGACTTCTGGAGGATGGTGTGGCAGGAGAGGTCTCAGAGCATTGTGATGGTCACCAATCTGGTGGAGGGAAATAGGATCAAGTGTCACAAGTACTGGCCAGAGACTGGGACCTGTCCTTCGTCCCTTCAATGTCACCATCACAGGACAACAGTAATGGCTGACTAACTACTCGCCCACTTTGTGTTCAGTACTACGGAGTGAAGTTACAGTTACACCATCAGTCCTCCAACAATTAAACCCTTTCCATGTAGCTCACAGAGATCCCTGGAGATATTATTCTAACTGTGGCTCAGTTCCACTTCACAGAGTGGCCTTAGTCTAGGAGTGCTTTACTCTGCCACTTCAATTGCTAGTCTTCCTCAAGAAAGTGAAGAAGAAACGTCTGAGTATCAAGAGGACAATTCTTGTTCACTGGAGGGGTACTCATGCCAAAGCATTTTGGAAACGTACAGTTCTATTTTTCTAGTGTGTTTTAACGCCCATTTGGAATCATTACGGTGCAGTGTGGCAGTGCGGGTCATAACATTATAATATGAGTAACATAGGTAGGCTATAGTTTCACTCAAAACATGGTAGAGAAGAAAAATATTTACATAGTGCGGAAATGCTTTACATGATCAGTGAAAACACGTGCAAAATATTAAACTTCGATAGCCATAAATGAATGCACTCTTTCTAGAATGGATACTATAAAAGTGTGACAACTGTAGCATATTATACGCTCATTGACTTGTAGTGGCTTTATTACAATGTTAACGGGAGTAAATGGGATTGTGTGGGTTTTGTAATCCACAGTGCCGGTGTTGAAGGACGGGACTCTGATAACTATGGGACTGTGTTCTTGAGAAGCTGCAAGAGGCGAGGTGGTGGATATAGGGTGTAATCTCCACCCCGCACACAGAAGAATGAAACTTGTTGAAAGTATGGTTAGTAGAGTGATTCTTTTACATCCAGTTAGCTACTTGTAAACACAATAGGAGCAGTATATCTTTGTCCACGATGCAATCCTAGAAGATTTGTTATGTGGAGACACACAAATTGATGCTAGAATTTTCCACAAATCTATGAGGAAAATAATCAACAGTCCACAAATCATATGTGACTGAATTTGAAAAACAGTTCAAGGTTAGTATAATTATGTCAGTCCTTTCAGAGACATGGGGAAGTTTTGTAATTTTGCAGGTTCTTGAAAAGGTATCCCCTAAACTAGCAGAGGTTTCAAGAAGGAAGCTCTTCGAAATGGAAATAAAAACCGCAATCTTCGGTACCTTCCATGTTAGTTGACTATTACAACATCAATGAAAATGTATTAGTGTGTTCTCCTTCAGCTGACAGGTGGCGTGTGGCTTTGAGGGGAGGGAGTAATGACTACATTCATGCAGTTTTTGCTAGTGTATGTACAGCTTCATAGTGATCAGTGTCTCCATCAATATTTCTGTATTATTACAGGGCTACAAGCAAAAGAGAGCATTCATCATAGCTCAGAGTCCCATGGAGTCCACAGCCAGAGATTTCTGGAAGATGGTCCATGACAGGAAGTGTGGAGTCATTGTTATGCTCTGTGACTTGGTGGAAGATGGACAGGTAGCAACACGTTTCATTGTATATTATACTATGACACAAAAACCGCAGGAGATGTGTTGTCAGTATTGGCCTCAGACTGGAATGGTTAAATTTGGAGAGTATACAGTCGATTTGACAGAAGAACAGTCAGTGATTGGATATACTATTCGTAAACTGAGTCTTTCAAATACTGAGGTGTATAGAATTATTTAAATATCTCCTTCATGCTTTATAACAGTCTGGAAGTGCTCATCAGATTGTACAGCTGCACATAACTAACTGGAGTCCTGATGGTAGATGTCATAACCTCAGCACTGTTACAAGTGTGATAAGTCAGATGACAAACATCCAGATCACAACTGGCAACCGTCCCACCATAGTCCATTGCAGGTATAGTTGGCTAGCTATAGAGCAAGGAAGGATGACTCAAACCTATTACTTGCATTCATTTGTTGGCGGGATTCTTACTTTTCCCACAGTGACACAGTGGGTAGGTCAGGGATGTTCTGTGCCATAGTCACCACCATTGAGAGGTGTAAGACAGAGGGAGTGGTGGATGTGTTGCAGGTGGTCAAGGCTCTCAGGGTACAGAAACCTGGAGCTGTCCTCACTGTGGTACATCCTTTGGTAAAAGTACAGTGACAGCCACAACTTGATGTCCTTCATTGCAGACACACTATCATTTGCTGTTTGAAGCAGTGTTGGTGTATCTGGACTCTTTTGACACTTACAGCAATTTTCTTAGTGATAAGAACCCTTGAATTATAACTATGAGTTAGTGATACCCACACACCTATGTATGAATTTGTGTATGGTATAGCAAGGGTCATGTTTTATTACACCTGGTCAATCTAGTTTTAATGTGCCTTTAGATTACTCTGACAGATTCAGGACATAGCTAACAATTGCTTTTCTCCCCGGCATCTAATTATTAATGCTGCCTCACAATTACGTTTTTACCCTACCTGTCCCACCTCAAAAATACAGTGGAACCAAAGACAAATTGGTGCATGTGAATTGACCCTTGCCAACTACTCAGAGGGAGTTTGGTGACTATTTCTATGTACTCTAGTAATACTGGAATCTTTATTCCCCCCTTTTGTGCCCGCTTTGTTTGTCCACGATCAACTACGGCATACAGTGTTGAGTCGCTGTGGCATTTATAAAACTAGGTATATTAGAAGGCTGGCAATCACTGAAAGGTCACTGGAGTTCATCCATGCGGTCATACCTGCTGATCCTGTGTGAACATTTGAACTAACGCTTCATGAGAATGCTACTGCATGGATGGCAATAGAAGAGCTATGTCAGTTCAGCAGGTTTTTTTCTTAATTACAACTGTTATATTAGAGAGTCGGTAGACTCTCTATATAGGGATGACACGGGTGAAATCTCATGTGATCCGCGTACAAAACAACTAAAAACTCGGTGAGAATCACTCCCTAGGCCTTCAAAGCATACTAGCAATAGTCTGCGGGCCCATATCTACCTATACATGTCCCCCAAGAGCTCATACGCACCTTTATAAAGTCGTCCACGCGAGAATTCGCTCATACGCGATTTCACGATTTTTGTGTCATCATATTCTTCATCTCTTCTTCTTCTTCTTCAAACCCGCTATCTCCTTACCAGTACCAGTTCAAGGTCTTCAATTTCGCCGGAGGTGTGCACGGACATCAAGCGATCGTTTCTTTCTTGCCGCTAGTCACTACGGTATCATGGAGCTCTTCCATGGTCGACCTGAATAACGCCATTTGCTGCTTCTACTCAGCATCAGTGAGCCGCGCGCATGGGCCAGGCATGGGCGTTGTCCAATGCGCTAGCGAGCGTATTACCAGGCGAGCGAGTTGACAGACCTGCAGAGGAACTCTCAGCCTCCAGTACCTTCTGTATAAGTAAGTGTTTCCAACTGGCTATCTTGCTATTGATTTGCACGAAGAGCAACTTGCCAGAGTCTGCGCGGTGTTACGCGAGCCTTGCGGGGCACTCAGTCAAATGGCCTTCATTGTTTACCTGATTACCAAAGCCTGCCAATGAAACCACAACCATGCAACAATCTAAGTTCATCCTTGTTGAAGACAATACATGAGGTGAATACGGCCCATGCTTCAGGCACTAGCAGCCCCATTAGCTACTACTTTCAACAGTTACAATTTGTCTATGGTAGCCTATCTACAACATAGCTACCCAGAGCGACTGTAACAATACTAGTGGAAATGTTGAACATTGTTGGCGAGCGGGAGCGACCCAACTTGGGATTTGACCGCGATGTTCGGGCTGCATAACGTACCGTCAGCGCACAGCTTTCTTTTCGTGAAGCAAGACAGATCTACCTGTCGCCGTTACATGCGTACTGTATATTGCCTGAACGGTGAGCAGGTGAGCAGAACGGTACTTACCTTACACTTTCAGCTCGGTCCACCTGGCAACTAGCATGCAGCAGTATGTGCACGAGCAATCCTAGCGTATTAAGCAAGTTGCACCTTGGAACCATGAAGATCCACA